TGGTTGCTCACGCTGGCTGCTGGCTACATACAGTAGCCCATGGCAACCAACTGCAGCAGGGGCTGCAGCCTATGCCGTCACCAGTGACTCATGGCAGCCCAACTCCAGGTTGAGCCGTTGTTCAGCATCTTAGCTACAGAGGGCAGTGTCACTGCATATGTGGATCCGAACCGGGGCCCAATGGCATCCCAAGCCAGCTCTCAACCAACGCGCCACTTGGCCGGCCCTCACAGTATTTTTCAATTCAAAATATTGATTAAAGGCCTTTGTGTGCCGTACTTTATGCTATGCATCGATGGTACAAAGATGAACAAGAGATGGCCTATGACTTTGGTGTAGGAGCCTACTGAAATATAGATGGAAATATAGATGATGTGTATTTAAAAATTATAATTATTCATTTTTTATTTTAAAAAGCATAACTTTAGTGAGATTTGAACATACACTCTTACTTCATAAGACTAGGTCTCAAACCATTAAGCTGTGGCTCATACTCATACTAGAATTTCACATATTTTATCTCATTTGGTTAGTAGAGTGTGAGATCTCTGATGGCAAAGACTATGTGTCTGAGTATCTTTATTTTTTCAAGGTACTTGGCATTCATTGAGAACCACAGGTAAATACTTATAAGATCCATAATTATTTGGAATGCCATGGTGGCTATTGACTCTAGTATTACACAAATTAAAAAAAATCACTTAATGTACTTAGCTTTGTAGTTGTAACTGAAAAACTAGGGCAATGGATGCTGATGGAAATCATAATTGGTATGAGTGAAATGGCCAGTGTTAGCAGGGTATAGTGGATTTACTTGCAGTGCGTCTCTGCAATGAGTTTCTTCTTTCTTGCAGGACATTTTTAAAGCTGGAGATGCCAATAATGATTCAAAATTGGACTTTGAAGAATTTGTGCAATACCTTAAAGACCATGAGAAAAAAATGAGGCTGGCATTTAATAGTCTGGACAAAAATAATGATGGTGTGTATATATGTGTGTTTTATTCACAATTAGCTTAACATGAATAATAACTGTCAGTACTAAAGGATATTCTTACTAGCCTCTAATTTGCTCCTACTATCAAAGATTCAATTGTATTACTTGTTTAGCAGTAACTTTTTAATTTTTAAGAATAACATATAAACTATATCTATTAGTATTATATGTGTGGTTACTATCTTTTTCATAAAATAATTTTGCCCTCTGAATTTAAAGCTTCTTGGCCCAGTGAATAGGCCTCTCCTCTTTTTTGCAGTATATGAGCTGAAAGATTCATGGTAGTTTTAAAAATGACATTTATTGTTTTCTTGCTGGTTTTGAGAATCTTGCCATTGCAGGAAAGTTAGATAACACAGCAAAGCTTCTGAAAGAAAGTAAAAGTTACTTCTAACCCTGCTGTCTAGATATCAGATTTAGCATTTTAGTCATTTTTGTATTTCCTTCTAGTCTTTTTGTCTGTTTCTTGCCTGGTTTCTCTCTCTTTAAATTAAATTGCAGTTGCACTGTATGTATAGTTTGGTGTTCTACTTTTTTCTTTTAATGTTATAATGTAAGCATTTCCACGTCATTGAATATTCTTCACAATTTTTTTTTAGATTTTTTAAATTTTTATTGGGGAATTGGGGGGATGGGAACAGCGCTGGGGAATTGGGGAAGGGGAACAGACAAGTTGCTATCGTTTTGTTCTTCAGTCTATTTGTGGAGGACGTTGCTTCACTGACCATGTTGGTATTATCATTGCGCTCTTCCC